TACTGTTAGTTTTTTTTGTAATTATCCTATTTATAGTTAAATTCCCCCTCTCATAATATTGTAAAGCACTACGGAATCTGTTGGCGCTATATAAATGGCGAGAATAATAATAATAGCCAAAATGAAAACATAGCTGTCAATGTTGACTTTCATTTAAAGGAACACTATAGTCACCCAGACCACTTCATCATAATGGAGTAATCTGGGTGCAGAGTTCCTGTGCCCTTAACCTTGCAATGTGAAACACTGCTGTATTTGAAAAACTGTAATTCTTACATTGTAGGGTTAAGTCCACCTCTAGTGGCTTTTAGTATGACAGCCAGTAGAGTTGCTTCCACGTGATATGGAAGCCACATAGGAAAGCATTAATTCAATGCTTCCCTATTGGAAAGTGTTAATGCGTTTTGACTATGAGGAGCATTGTATGCTCCGTGACGGCGCTGGGGGAGGAGAGCTAAGCTTCACCGACAGAGCCTCGGCACTGGCAAAAGGTAAGTAAAACATTATTTTTAACCCTTTATATGCAAAAAGGGGGGACCTAGTACACCTAGGGACAGGGACACTGTAGCATTAGGAATACAGATGTTCCTTTAAGGAGCTTTCCAATTTATCCAGTATTGTTAGAACTTTCCAAATGATTTATCTACAAAATTCCCATAGATTTTAATAATGACTTTTGTACATAAAACATTTGGAAAGATTTTCTAACTATATTGCAATATTTGCAAAGGTTATTAAAGAGACCCCCATTTTTTTTTTTTTAAGAAAGTTTTTTTTTTTTCAATTTGAAATTTTTATTATCTTCAAGAAAAGGTATGGGGTACAGAAAAGAAGAGGGAGCGTTAACATATCATGGGGATGACACAATCACATTTTGTACATCTTGGTAGCTTCATGTGTAAGCGGGGGGTATGTCAGCAGGTCGAGGGGATGTTGCTGATTGCTCAACTTATACAGTGTCGTCATGTATCTATGACAATGTCGTCGTGTATCTATGCCAGTATCAACCCTGTGGTCTTTCGTGGGGTATACATTATGGTAGGCGTGCTCCGCAATGCGAGTGTTGATCGCGTGCGCGATAGTGGGTAAGTTGGAGTTGTCTGCGTTTCCCCGGCTTTGCCTATAGGTTGCAGAGGCTTTCGCAAGCGTTAGGGGTTGAGGGTTGTTTTCTTAAGTGTGATTGCTTGGGGTAGGTAGTGGGGGGGCCAGGAAGGGGGGGGAGATTGGGTGGGTGGAGTAGGGCAGGGGGTGTTGGTTGGAGTACCTAGCGGGGGACATCCTGTGTAGTGTAGTGACTGTAACAACAATATGTTTGAAGCTTTGTGTGGTGCCTTCTTGGGTGTTTGGGTGCTGGGTGGTTGTGTTCTCCAGCTGAGAGTAAGCCTGGTTCGGGAGATTTTGTCATTTTCATGGGTGTTGGGGCTCAGGTCAGTCTTGTGTCTGTTCGTCGTAGGTAGTCCTCCCACATTGTGGCAGTGTGGGGGCTGAGTTTCCCAATTTTCGACTGATTCCACATTATTAGTTCATGTTCTACTGTTGAGGTCATTACTTTTTCTATGTCTTGGAGGGAGGGCAGCGTAGTTGTTTTCCAGTTTCTGGCTATTAGTATGGATACTGTACTTAGGATGAGGTATATAATTTTTCGGATCGGCTTCGGGATGTTTCCCTGTAACGAGCGTAGTAGGATCGTTTTGGGGTCGAGGGGTAGTTGGTTTTTCGTGACTCGTTTGATTAGTTTGGCTGTTTCTTTCCACAGTTGATTCACCTGCTTGCACGTCCACCACATGTGCAGCATGGTGCCTCTCGCAGCGTGGCAGCGCCAGCATTGGTCTGAGGAGTTTGGGAATATGGTGTGGAGTCGGGTTGGGACCATATACCATCTGTATAGGAGTTTCCTGGATGCTTCGAGGTGTGCTGCGCTTGATGTCAGTCCTGTATGGGAGGTGAAGATCTTATCCCATTCGGCTGGTGTGATGATGATTTGGAGGTCGTTCTGCCAATCTTGCATGAACTTCCATGTGGTGTGTATATCTCTGTTAGCGAGGTTGTTGTAGCAAAGGGAGACTGCTTTTTTGGGGGAAATCCGCGTCAAGCATTGTGCTTCGAATTTCGTAATAGAGGTTTGCAGGGAGTTTTGGATGTTTGTGATCTTGTTGTTGCGTAGGTGCGCTTTGATTTGGAGATATGCGAACGTGAAGCTGGAAGGTAGTAGGAATTCTTTTTGTAGGTCTGGGAATGTTTTCAGCCCGTCTTTCGTGTATAGATGGTAGATATGAGGGATACCTGCGCTACTCCATTTTTGGTATGGGAATGTTCCGTTGCACTGGTGCAGGATTTGGATCGGGGTTGCCAGGGTCCACGGGTGTGCTGAGCACAAATTCTCCCTGCAGGCATCCCAGATCTTGAGCAAGTGTCTGGAGGTGTCTAGGGTAGTCGTAGGTATGTGCCGTAGATGTTGAGGCATCCAGAGCAGTGTCGGGAGGTCTTGATTTCCGCAGTGGTTGCTCTCTATTGTTACCCATTGAGGGGAATAGCTGGTCGAGTGGGCGTAAATGACGTTTGTGAGGATGGAGGATCGGTAGTACTCTTTAATGTTGGGTAGGCCCAGTCCTCCGGATTGCACGTTTCTCATTAGAAGCGATTTGGGGAGTCGAGGGTGTTTGCCTCCCCAACTGAAGCGTAGTAGTGTCGCTTGTAGTTTTGTTACGTAGCTTTGCGGGATTGGGATTTGCAGAGATCTTAAAAGGTAGAGTATTTTAGGTAGAATCGTCTTTTTAAGAAAGTTTGAAAGTCACTTTGCATGATTTAGAATTCACTTTATTGTGTAAATAGACCAATATGATTTTACAATGCGAGAGGAAAGAATTTTTTTGTTTTTTTGTTTAATTGTTGAAACATCTCTTTTAGGGTTATTCACAAAAGTGAGAATTTGAAGTTATTTTTTAATTTAAAGTCACACTTTAATAAACAAACATGCTAAAGAGTTAAAAAGTGATCTAAAAATATATAGTCTTTACTAAATTCTTACTGTAATGTGTAGATAGCATTAAATATCTGTCATTAGCATCATTTCATTTTTATTCACTAAGCTACAAATGAACGAGTAGGGAATTGCATAATGTATGCCTAAAAAGCAGAGCGGTGTATTTTTACTATACAACTATGTTGATCTACAAAAATGAAGAATGCGTTATATACCCTGCAGTACAATTGTACCTTGGTGTCCCCTACTGGTGGATCTCTGTATGTTGTACATTAAATAGGTGGCTTGGTTCCAGAGAATAGTTACTATTTCAGATTTAAATTTCCTTCATTATTTCAATTAACAGTCAGAGTAATAAATTGTGACAAAGGACAATTGCCCCAGGGCCTACAAATATGTATCCAGCAAGTGTGTACATTTTTAATTAATATGCTTTATGGCTCCCTTGAGGGATGTGTTTGTACAGCGATAAAGTATTGTATTGTGTATACGGTAGTCTTATTATTTTTATACTATCCTTCTGTGAATTATACACAAATACCTCCCACATGTAAAACTGGTGCTGTAATACTTATATTTTTAGAAAAATTAGGTTAATTCATGTTCTTTAATAATGTCATGTAGAAAGCACTCTACTGTGTGGGTTTAATGCTAGATGTGACGAGTAGTATATACTGAGTGCTAAATGGTACTATATTCCCTAATTAGGATAGACAATATACAATATAAGGAAAACCATATCACACCATGGTCATTATTAAAAATAATATTAATACACTATATAGCAGAAAGCAGCACAAATAAAGTGCATAATATGAATGTAGGAAAATTACTACATGTACTGGCAAAATTGATGTAATAGACATATAAATGCAAAGTCAAACCAAATGTGTTTAAATCATAAACCCATAAATGTTACCTAAAGTACACTGAACTTTGGAGGCCACAACCCCAGCGTTTCACCCTGATGCCTTTCTCGATTTCATGTCTTTTATCATGTTTATACCCACTAAACAGGTGTGACCTGTGTATAATTCAAAAAGGAGAGAGAGCCCTCTGGATCATACTAGCGGTAGCGTGCACACTTCTTAGATCAGCGAGTGATGTCATCCTATCGGCAGCGGTAGGGAAGTAAAAAGTTTTTGTTAAGAAAATGTGTGTGGAGGCTGAAGTCACATTACACCCCCTGCCCATTCCTCCAAACTCCATAGTCATTTCACATTCATACACAGTGCGGTGTATTTTGGTTTTGTGCTGCCCTAGGCATGACTAAACTCAGGCACCCCCCTAATCTAAATGTTCCCCACCCCTTCCTCTCAAGGTCGCAAATCTTCCTGCTTAAGACCAACACGCACTTTGCCTGACAGATACACGCCTTCACAGATACATACACTGCCAGGGACACAGTCACTGGCACAAACTCTGTTTAACTAACACACACTTTCATTGACAGGCACACACTCTCAGATATACATTGACTCTCACTGATTTGACACACTCTGACAGATACACATTCACTGACAGAAACACTCACTGACAGACACATACACGCACACATTATTTTTTTATTTTTACCTGAGTCCATGTAGCTTCCCTACATTTGGGAGAGCTAGAGTGGATTCTTTTTCTATTGGATCCAGTGTGGCTACAGGAGCAGCTGGGCTGCGGGTCAATGGAGGCGGCGAGGGAGCTGTAATCTTGCTCTGCTCCCTCACGTGCCATTAGTGATGCCGTGGTTGGAGTGATGTCATATTCTGGCGTCCGGCTTCACAGCAGGGATCAGAGCAAAAGGAGCACAGAAATCAGAGATCCTCACCGCCAGCCTGCAATACCAAGAGATGCCCACTTGAGGGGGGCTCTAGGGTAGCCACCTGGCATGCTCTTGAGCCCCCAGTGAAACAAGGCTAACAAGGCACCTGCAGGTGCATTTGGGGGTGGCATTTTGTGCCTTATCCCCCATGGAAAGTGCCGTCCAAGACAAATTATTATTATTATTGCCATTTATATAGCGCCAACAGATTCCGTAGCTCTTTACAATATTATGAGAGGGGGATTTAACTATAAGTAGGACAATTACAATAAAACTTACAGGAACGATAGGTTGAAGAGGACCCTGCTCAAACGAGCTTACAGTCTATAGGAGGTGGGGTATAAGACACGTTAGGACAGGAAATATCAATCAAATGGGGTGGGAGTGAAGCAGAGCTGGAGGAGGGGGAAGAGTGCTGCCCTATAGGAGAGAGCAATACAGGTATGTAAGGTAGAGGTTACTCTGGGAGGCCGTAAGCTTTCCTGAAGAGATGGGTTTTAAGGCTCTTCTTAAATGATTGAAGACTAGGGGAGAGTCTGATGGCGGTAGGCAGGCTATTCCATAGGAAAGGACCCGCGAGAGGTCCTGCAAGCGTGAGTTGGCTGTACGGGTGCGAGCAGCGGTCAGGAGATGGTCACGGGCAGAGCGGAGGGAACGAGGAGGGGCATACCTATGGATCATTGAGGAGATATAAGAGGGGCTAGAATTGTTCAGTGCTTTAAATGTATGGGTTAGCACTTTGAATTGACTCCTATAGGATACAGGGAGCCAATGTAAGGACTGGCAGAGGGGTGATGTGTGAGAGGACCGACTAGAGAAGAAAATCAGTCTAGCTGCAGCCTTCATTACAGACTGTAGCGGGGCAATACGGCTTTTGGGGAGACCAATCAGGAGAGGGTTACAGTAATCCATGCGGGAAATTACTAGAGCATGGACAAGCTCTTTGGTCGCATCTTGCGTAAGAAAGGGGTGGATGCGGGCTATGTTTTTGAGTTGGAACCTACAGGATTTGGCAACAAGCTGGATGTGAGACTCAAAGGTGAGGCCAGAGTCAAGTATGACGCCAAGACAGCGTGCTTGCAAGGATGGACTCATGTGGATATCACTGACTTAGGAGGAGGAAAGACAAGGAGTTCAGTTTTAGAGAGATTGAGTGTCAGAAAGCGTGAGGACATCCAGTCAGAGATGAAAGAAAGGCAAGCAGTGACACGTTGCAGGACGGCAGGAGAGAGGTCCGGGGAGGAGAGGTATATCTGAGTGTCATCAGCGTACAGGTGGTAGTTGAATCCAAAAGAGGCAATAAGCTTGCCAAGAGAGGCAGTATAAAGAGAAAATAGAAGGGGACCAAGGACAAAGCCTTGAGGAACTCCAACCGAGACAGGACGAGGAGAGGAGGTATGCTTGGGAAAGGAGACACTGAATGAGCGTTGGGAGAGATAGGAGGAAAACCAAGAGAGGACAGAGTCACAGAGACCGATCGATTGAAGAGTTTGAAGGAGGAGAGCATGACCAACAGTGTCAAAGGCAGCAAAGAGGTCAAGGAGAATTAATATGGAGTAGTGACCTTTGGATTTAGCTGCGATTAGGTCATTAGTGACTTTGATGAGAGCAGTCTCAGTAGAGTGGAGAGGGCGGAAGCCAGACTGAAGAGGGTCAAGGAGAGAGTTGGAATTGAGGAAGCGAGACACACGGGTAAAGATGGGTCTTTCCAAAAGCTTTGATGAGAAAGGGAGCAGGGATATTGGATGATAGTTAGAGGGGAAGGATGGGTCAAGAGATGTTTTTTTCAGGATACGTACTACAGTGGCATGTTTAAGGTCAGCAGGAACAGTGCCAGAAGAGAGAGAGCAGTTAAAGATGTGTGTTAGGGTAGGCACAAGACAAAGGGAGAGAGATCTGATGAGGTGGGATGGGACAGGATCGAGCGGGCAAGTGGTGGGGCGAGAGGAATGGAGAAGCGTAGCCACCTCTTGTTCAGTAGCCGGGGAGAAAGTCTGAAGGGTAGGGAAGGCATGATTTATGTGTGGTTGAGAAAGAGAACGGCAAAGAGGGGAGAATTGTTTCCTTAGCTGTTTAATCTTGTTGGTAAAATAGCATGCAAAGCTATCAGCTGTAAGGTTAGTTTGAGGGGTGGCCGCAGCAGGACGCAGAAGTGAGTTAAAGGTATCAAAGAGACGTCTGGGATTGTGGGAGCATGAACTAATGAGAGAGGAAAAGTATGACTGTTTGGCGAGGGCAAGGGCTGCGCTGTATGAACGAAACATGAATCTATAATGGAGAAAAAGTCTGCCTGGGTGCGGGACTTCCTCCAGGAACGTTCAGCACAGTGGGAGCAACTCTGCAGATAGCGTGTTGATTTAGTATGCCAAGGTTGGGGTCGTGTCCTCCTCGAGGTGCATGTTTGGAGCAGGGCTGCAGTGTTCAAGGAAGAGGTGAGGGTAATGTTATATGTGGAGATGGCCAGTGAGGGACAGGAGAGGGATGGGATGGATAGCAGTTGTGAATCAATGTCAGCTGACAGCTACTGGAGGTCAATAGAGTTAAGGTTTGTAACGAAATCCCGGTTTAAACAGACTCAGAGGATCAGCATTTCGGTTATTTATGCGCATGTGTGGCTATTTCGTGCAATTGCAATAAACCGAACAAACTACTGAATCACCCGACCTTCCATTGAGGTCGTGTGCAGCTCATTTACCGCCCAGACCTTGCGGTTAACTGCAGGGTAATTGAGGAAAGGCTTGGTGGTCCACGTTTGTTTGCCGAACATGTGGCGGTCACCATTTTAAATCGTCGAACGCTCAGCGGTAGAGGGCGGCGATTCTCTGGAACTATTTTCGGACACTTATTCAACCGAACACCGCTGGCGCCTACCATGTTCCCCGTTCATACGGCTAGAAACGCACGAATACCTGGAACACTTTACCGTTCGGACTTTTATACCATACGAGATAGACCGACCCCAGGTAGCTACAGTTATGGAACTCTTTTCGGATGCAATCTCGCGAACAACCGGTGAATTAAAACTTCATTCGACGATATTGAGAACTGTGTTCGTGGGATCTGTGCGCTATTCGGCTATAATGTGCACTCAGATCCGAACTATCTGGGGGTATGTGGGACTTAGAGTCTACGTTCGGTAAAATACAAGTTATAGATTTTCTCTACCTGGAGATAATTAAATAGATGTTTTTCTCTACCTGGAGATAATTAGGGTCTCTTCCACCACTTAAGTTAATTATCTCCAGGATAGAGAGGAGGGATTTACCTATACAATGGGGAGTGTTTATGTTTAAGCCACTGTGATTGGCTACTATACTTCTTTTGTCCCAGTCTTCCATCTGGTCCCCTAGGGGAGTGTCCACCAGGTGGGAGACCTGCATAAATACCGGGCAGGTAGCCCTCATTAAATCAGATCGTTTTACCCCTTCATGAAGTCTCGACTTATGTTTGGGGGATTGGGAGCTATAATCACTATTTTACTCTACTTCGGCTTGGATTTCGGGAGATGCTACAAGGATCAGTGCTGCACGAATAGCAGGAACCTTTACAAGGTTCCTCCTGAGTTGAGGGGGGTTAGGCTGAGGTTGTTGGGTGAGGGTGTAATTGACAGCAAATGATAAGAGGTGGTGATCTGAGAGAGGAAATGGAGTGTTGCAGATATTAGATACTGTACATGAATAAGAGAAAATAAGGTCAAGGGTATTGCCAGCTACATGGGTGGGAGAGTTAGCCCACTGCAATAGTCTGAGGGAGGAAGTAATTGAAAGTAGTTTAGAGGCTGCTGGGGTCAAAGGTGGGTTAATGGGAATATTGAAGTCTCCAAGAATTAGGGATGGAATGTTAGAAGAGAGGAAGTGGGGCGTGGCTAAGCGCTCGAGCTGCACGGTCGCATGCCGGAGTAGCTCCCGCCGCTCAGGACACAAGGGGCACCCAAATAACCGGGCTACCGAGCGCCAGCACTAGCGAGACGGCAGACTGCTACCTACCATGTCCCAGAGACAAAAGCCGAAACCAGCGAGGACGGATAAAGCGTCCTTCTTTCAAGCGAAAGCCACTTCACAAAAAGCGCGGGAAGACGCCGATCAAGATGGCGGCCCGCCACGATCCCGGGAGGGCTCTCCTGCATCCCCAGCTTCCCCAGCACCAACTGCTGAGGACCAACCACTCACAGTGGCAACTATGAGAGGTATGATGACAGAGCTCACAAACACAGTGCAAAGAAGCCTTAAGGCTCAAATGTTGACACTGACAAACGAACTTAGGAAAGACTTGCAGGACATAGGGACACGCACTGCACATCTAGAATCCAAGATGGACGAATTTTCCATGGCACATAACAGTGTGGCTGATAAAATGCAGGAAATGGAAGATGTCATTACAGCTCAAAAGATCAAGCTGGCAGACCTGGAAGATAGGTCTAGGAGGAACAACCTCCGATTTAGGGGGATACCTGAATCAGTTACAAATGCGGACCTAGATAAATATTTGCAAGACATGTTCCAACAGATGACCCCAGAACTACACCCGGACCAACTTCTGCTGGACAGAGCACATCGCCTCAGAAGACCTAGTCACCTACCCAATACAGCAGCGAGAGACGTCATAGCAAGAGTACATTTCTTCCATGCCAGAGAAAGAATTATCAAAGCCAGCAGGAATAGAGGGATGCCGGAAAAATTCTCCAACATCAAAATCTTTTCCGACCTTTCGGCAGAGACATTACAGTACCGCAAATCTCTGGCACAAATCACGCTATCACTGCGCAACCAAGGAGTAAACTACAGGTGGGGATATCCGGCCAAGCTGCTGGTCTACCATGGAGACTCCCTCCACGCCATCACATCAGCGACGCAAGGCATCAAGATGCTCAGAGACTGGGGAGTCCCGCTGGCAGAGTTACAAAAAACAGGCCCAACGAAAATCCCCCACCTGGCCCAGGATTGGGCATCCCGCTAAAGAGACTGCATGACCGTATGGTATACGTAAGACTCATAACCAATTGCCAGTTATCTTATTGTATTTAACACTCTGTTAATCCGTTTTTTTTTTCTTCTTATTTTACTGTTACACCTGGGAAATACGTGGGTATGTACCGGGGCCCCCCTGACCACCTCCCAGGCCGACTAGCCAGGTCCACAACCAGATTTATTCTCGGTTAGACCACGACACTGCCCAAAC